AATGAACTTGATCCCCTCAGTGAATATATACAAACATTCAACAGTATTTGTGGTTAGGTTTTATTTGGTGATAAAATCTTTAAACATGTGCGTCTTATGTACTCCGAAATTTCTATGAAAAAAATTGTTTTAGAAAAATAATAGTTCCCCAAATTGTAAGGAAACAAGATATGAATCATTACTTGACATTACAACAGACCTTTGATTAATTAAACATCCAATATATGGTTCATCCTCAACCATATGCATACAAAACACTTCAATACTGATGGTTTAGGATTTAAGTAAATGTCAGCAAATGAACAATTGTACTGCTATAAACAATTTACCTATTTCATTGAAATATATAATTTGATATTAAATTTTAAACCGTTCATGTAATTCAGCGAAACACCTCAATTTTGTAACGGAAATAATAAGAATCAAATTAGATTTTTTTGAACATTAACAGAAAACCTAAAAATGTAATCTTCGGTATGTGTTGCAATAGAATTTAATACTGAATTAATTAACAGAAATTCATCGTTTGTATTCAGACAGAGTTTATAATACTTGATAGTTAGATCAACACCTTTGTGTCTGATTCGCTTCTTGTACGGATATCAAGAGTACGTTCATGCAATATAAGTCAGAATTAAAATTCATTCAACTTCACTGTTAATTTCAGTACAGTATAAAGGGGTATAATTCATACAATATCTACTGTCATAATCAATATAAATTTATTTTCTCAATGGTTCATGTAACTGAAAAGTTGGGAAGATAATCAATAGCACCGTTCTGAATACTAGATAACTTTAAATTAATGTCAGTAGTAGTAAGGGGGGTAGTCTGGGGGCACCTTAGAGGCACCGCCACTCCCCAGGGCCGTCTGGGGTCACCATTCATAGGGTAGTCTGAGGGCACTTTAAAGGCACCCACCACTCGTAGGGCCGTCTAGGGTCACCATCGTTGGAGGCCGTCTGAGGTCAACCCTTCTAGGGCCGTCTAGGGTCACTCCATAAAAGTATATATATATCCAGTGTTTTACTACAAACTTCGTTTTAGCCATGGGTGAACACCTTACACAGTATAAGTGGAAAGTTCTAGCTTGGAACTGTATTAGAAGAGATGAGAATAAATGGACACTATTAGAGAGCAAATGGTTTGACAAAAAGAAAGACTGTATTACTGATTTTAAAGAAAAAATGAAAGAAGGGTACGATGTTGCAGACTCTTGGGGATCAGAGGAATACCTACTGAAACGTCGATTAATGCCAAAAAAATACTATTTATAATTAAATACACGTTTAAGAAGATGGACAAAATACAAAAGAAAGTACAATTTGACAATCAAATACAAATTATATCAATACCATATGAAGAACGGAAGGGAATATGGATGCAGTATGCTATCGACAGAGCACATTTTAAAAGGAAAATTGAACAAGCTGAGATATTATTGTCACCAATCCTCCGTTCAAAAATAAATGAAATAAAAATGTCTGAGGTCACCCTTCCTAAAGGGCTATCAGCGGTCACCGCTTCTGAGGTCACCAATCCCAGGGCCGTCTGAGGTCACTACTCTTATAGGGCCACTTGAGGTCACTCCTAGGGCCGTCTAAGGTCAACAAATCCACTGGATAATTTGCTATAAAACCGAAGCGGTTGTAAACATGTTTCATCATATCTTAACTGATCTTACTAGGCGCAACATCGTTTTCAACAGACATGGAGCAAAAACATCAAGACCTGATAAGAAAGAACTACTCGACTCTGGTAAAGAAAATGAAGGCTTCTTCAGTTGCCAGACATCTGTATGACTCTAACATTATAACAGACGAGATGAAACAAGAAATTGAGACAGAGAAGACCAGTTACGATCAAAACAGAAGACTTCTTAGTACCATTCTTCGGAGAGGACTAAAAGCATTCAGAAGCCTCCGAATAGCTATCATGAAAGCCGGCCAAACGGATTTATCCAAGCTTCTCACAGATAGTGAAGATACTATGTCCGAGTATGAAAAGAAACTAGCCATGGCACGATCTTTGGTTATGAATACGGCTGAAAAACAGTATGTTGAAAACAAACCAAAGAGTGACCCTGTAGCACGGCAAATATCTCAAGACGTGCGATGTAGAATCAGTCTAGATGATTTCAACGAAATTTTCCTCACAGCCGTGTCTTTCAAAGACAACATCAATATTCACATACGCCACTTTACAGAGACCAACAATGGTCTATTTCCCACAAAGAAGGGAGTAACATTTCCGTTATCAAGATGGTTGATGTTTGAATCCATTCTTCCGGATATCCGAAATCACCTGCAAAACAGATCAAGCGAAGAAATGAAATGGCATATAGGAGGAGGAGTGTACGTCTCCATTACCCCGAGGTATAATACGTTGGATATAAGACACTATTGGAAGCCAGCTGACGCCCAGGAACCAGTTCCAACAAGGAAAGGTGTGACCCTGAACAAACACAAATTGACCAAATTACTGTCAGCCGTCGAGGAAGTACGGGATTGTGTTCCCGAATTAAATGACACAGAGCTTTGTGCATTTAGTGAGTCCCATCAAAATCAGCTCGGGATGTTAAGTTGCCCAGAGTGTACTCCTTTCGGATATGAGCCTAAAGAAGATGTGTCCCTGGGATGTAATGTCGGTGACTTACAAGACGCGCTGTCGATCGAAAGTGACAATGAGTAACTGTTCTAATAATATAATTGTCTTTCTCATGTGAATAAAGTCTGTTGCATGTATATATGTATCATCATGATTTTCATAATTATAATAAAAAAGTATGCATACATAAAAAGATGACTTGTGATTTTTTTGGTACATAATACAATACAATCAAGATAAAATGATCAGTCAGGTACAAGATGTCAAAGTATACAGACTATTTGAGAAAAATTTACTATACCCCCGGAACTCCAGGCGCATTTGGAGGTCCAGAAAAACTTTATCAAGCCGTAAAACAAGATGGAAAGTATAAAATAGGAAGAATAAGAATAAGACAATTTTTGAACAACGAAGATCCTTACAGTTTAATGAAACCTATTCGTCGTTCATTTCCCCGCTCAAAGGTCGTAGTGAACACCATTGATTCTATGTGGGATGGTGATTTAGCCGATGTCAGCAATATTTCTTCTCAGAATGATGGTTACAAATTTTTGTTAGTGTTGATAGATATATTCAGTCGCTTTCTGTTCATAGTACCATTGAAAAATAAGCAGCACGGAAATATTGTCAGTGGGATAAAATCTGCTTTCCAAACAGGAAGAAAGCCGCATACTCTTAGAACCGATAAAGGAAGTGAATTTAAAAATCGTTGGGTAAAGTCATTTTTGAAACAAGAAGGTGTTCACACAATATACACTCAAAACGAAACCAAAGCAAATTATGCTGAAAGAGTAATCCGTACCATGAAAAACCTAATGTATCGTTACTTTATAAAGAACAGAACTTATCGTTATATTGATGTTTTGCAAGATTTAGTCAATAGTTATAATAAAAGACCTCACAGATCTCTTGGTGAGCATGCACCTGCGACTGTCAACAAGGAAAATGCAGATGAGATAAGACTTCTTACCTATTTGAGCACAAACAAAAAGAATCCTAACTTGAATACAACCAAGTTAGAAAAACCAAAAAAATCGATGAGTACAAAGAGGAATAAGCGAGTTTTTAAATACAAAATAGGTGATGACGTACGTATTTCACAGCTGAAACATTCTTTCCAAAGAGATTACCAGCAGAAATGGACTGAAGAGTTTTTCAAAGTTTCTAAGAGATACCAAAGAGATGGAATACCTGTGTACAAAATAAAAGATTTAGCTGATGATCCAATTGAGGGTACTTTTTATGAATCGGAACTTCAAAAAGTCATGAAGTCGGGAGATATTCTGTATAGAGTGGAAAAGGTGCTGAGAAAGAGAAAACGCGGTAAAACAAAGGAGGTGTACGTAAAATGGGAAGGATGGCCTAGTAAATTCAATTCTTGGATTCTCGAAAGTTCTCTTGAAAAAACCAAATAAATACAGATTTTTTCAACGAATCATCATCAGTCAAGATGAGTCTTCGAATGGTGTTGAGCTCTACTGACAGCTCCGAATATTTTGACAATAAACCCAATTGTTTTCGAGTTCAATTGAATAAACAAGTGCAATTAGATGGATATTGGACGGTCGCTCTGACAGAATTTACAACAGAAAGCTGGAATTCGAACAAAAAATCTCGAGAGGTGTTCATATGCTGTGATATATGTGAAGAAACCTTTGTGGGCGGTAAGGACATGCCCCTCCTGCGTAGAGTATATTTTGGAGAGAAGCAGGAAACCAATATCATCTACAAATTACCCTATTACGTCCCAGTGAAGATCGGTCAATTACAACAGATCTGTATATATATAACGGATAAAGCAGGCAACTTAGTGTCATTCTTAGACGGACCGGTGAGCGCTACACTTCACTTTAAGAAGTTTCCCTACGTTTTATGATGAACAGCAAGACGTACATCAGTGACCCTAAAATCTGGGAAGCTTTTTACAAAAATATGGCAGAGAAAAAATTTAATCCGTACAAATATAAACCTAAACAAATTGGAAGAGGTATGAGAAAACGAAAATCTTACGTCATACCCATCAGACCCCATTCTCAGTTAGAACCTGTAAACCCCATTCCTCAAGTGACACCCGTGGCTGCCGTGGAAGAGAGAGCCAAGACAGAACACCTAAAGGACGTGAAAAAAGGTGTCCCTTTTGTCAAAGTCATCAAGGGTATAAAAAGACCAAGAAAGCAGTCCTCTGTCATTCCTTCAAAAAAGTTGAAGACGTCAACATCGCAGGAGAGGAAGAAAACTGTAAAAATTACCCTAACGAAGAAACCTTTTGCAACGAAAAAGAAAACAAACGGAAGATCTAAGAAACCACAGATATCCAGTAAGAAAAAGTCTCAGAACAAACAGCATAAAACTTTTAAAATTGACAGTTACAAAAACGTCTTTGAACGGTAAAAATGGCCTTCTTAAGCAGTGATAATAAAGACATAGCCCAACCAATGGAACTTTCTCTCTTTGCTTCACCCACTAATCAAGTTGCAGTGGAGAAGGTATACTTTACAGAAGCCAGGCCAATTTCCAGTATAGGAGTGTCTGACACTCCCATAGAAATAGTCGTATCAGGATCAGGAGCTGAATACATCGATTTAAAGAGAAGTCGATTATATGTAAAAGCCAGAATTTTAAAAGCTGATGGTACCGCATTAGCAGCCAATGAAAAGACTGGGATCGTTAATTTACCGTTACAAAGCATGTTTTCTCAAATGGATGTCTACTTAAACAACAAGTTGGTTTCCTTTAATACAAACAATTATCCATGGAAGGCTTACCTGAAAACAGTCTTGTTTGGCGGAAAAGAAGAATTATCTTCCCAGAAGCAGTCCCAGTTGTTTTTTAAGGACGAAGGAAATTTGGGTGACGCTAACGCTTACAACGGTGGTAATGCTGGACTAGTCTTGCGCTATGGCTATACACAAGAAAGTAAAGTATTTGAACTGGAGGGTAACCTAATGGAGGATATTTTTGACATCGATAAATACCTGATCAACGGCGTGGACATCTTTATCAAGCTCTTTAGATCTAGTGCACCTTTTCTAATAATGTCGGCACAGGGGAGTCCGGCTTACAAACTCGAATTACTAGATGTCGTGTACAAAGTGGCCAAAGTGCGAGTAGATCCTGGTGTTCTATTGAACCACAGCAAGCAGATAGAATCTACTCCTGTGAAATACACCATCTCAAGAAATGAATTGAAAATGAACACCATTCCTAAAGGATCTACAGAATTTTACTGGGACAACATTTTCCCACAGGCTATACCCGATCGTATCGTTGTGGGTTTGGTAGATCAGAAGGCTGTTAATGGAGACTACACAACTAATCCCTTTAATTTCGAACACTTTGATTTAACAGATGTAGGGATATACGTAAACGGAGAAAGCGTCCCAGGAAGACCCTTAAAAACCGATTTCACGGCAGGACATTATTCATCAGCATATGCTCGACTGTTTGAGGCCTCTGGAAAATGGAATCAAGACGCTGGTCTGATAATAACTCGAGACAACTTTGGAAGTGGATATTCTTTGTTCATCTTTACCATAGATCCCTGTGGTTTTGGTGAAGAATATTTAAACCTGATTCGAAGAGGAAACACCAGACTCGAACTAAAGTTCAAACAAGCAACAACAAAAGCTGCTAACGTTTTGGTGTTTGCCACCTTTTCCTCTCTACTAGAAGTTGACAAGACCAGGGACATCAATTACATTCAACCATGAATTCAAAACAGCTCCTCGATTTTGTGCACAAGGAACCTGTCCTAAAACGATTTGTAAAAGGAGTGTATGCCAGCAATACTTTACCGGAAGTCGTGACGCATTACCCAAGTGCCTTCATCATCAATACACAGCCTTTACCACTTCCAGGGGAACATTGGGTTGCTGTAATCATACACAGTTCCTCGGAGGCTGATTTTTTTGACAGTCTAGGGAAACCACTTGGGAATTATCCAGAGATTGAGAACTTTATTTATAAAAATAGTAAACATTGCAACTTTAAATGTAAACGACTTCAACCTTCCTATTCAGATTTGTGTGGTCTTTATGTACTTGTATTTTTGATATCTAGACTGTGTCTTAAAATGTCTTTGTCACGTGTTTATGCATTATTTTCTAATAACATTCAACTAAATGATAATTTTGTACGTAGTTTTATAGAGGAATATTGGTATCAATAAAAAATATAATGACATTGGTGACTTTTCTTTTTATAAATACTTGTTCAGTATTACATGTCAAATCATTCGTTAATCAGTAGAGGAAAGGGAAACATGGCAACGCAGATCGAATGGTGGAAAACAAAATCTTTACTACCATTTTCATCACCCACCACAATTTTAATCTGTGGTAGTACACAAAGCGGAAAAACACATTTCACTAAACAACTTCTGCAAAATGCAGATGGTATGTTTTCCACTTCTGTAGATAAAATCATCTATGCCTATTCTGAATATCAACCCATGTTTGACGAAATGATGTCAAGCATACCAAGACTCATTCTTCATCAAGGATTACCCTCCAAGGAAGATATAGAGCAGTATACAGAGGGTGTAAACCACACGATAGTGGTATTAGACGATCTTATGCTGCAAGTTGCTCAATCTCAAGATTGTGTACATCTTTTTACGGTGACTTCTCATCACCGTAACGTTACCACCGTGATGCTCTCTCAAAACTTGTACCCTCCTGGTAAATATGCCAGGACCATATCCCTAAACTGTCTAAATGTGATTTTATTCAGGAATTACCGCGATTCTCGTCAGGTCATCACCTTCGGATCACAAATACTACCTGGGAGCGTACCATATTTCAAAGCAGCATACGAAGCAGCTACACGTCTAAATTTTGGTTATTTGCACGTTTGCCTAGAACCTACACAAAATAAAGACTACCAGTTGAGATCTAACATCTTGCCAGGAGAGGACATGGTAATTTACCAACCCCTATAAATACATGAGATTCATCTTAATTTATTCAGAATACCAATATGAATCGAAGAATACGGAAGCAGAGAGCATTTCTCTCTTTTATGCTAAGTGCAAACACTGTTCAACAGAGAATGATTATCAAATATTTGACTAGTGAACAATACGATGTCATCAGTGAAATAGCCCTGAATATATACACGGGAACTTATCCCCTGAGTAAGAAGTATATAAATCAACTGAAACCTTACCATTCGTACATTCGATCGCTGGGATCAAGAGAAGTCACTTCTAAGCAAAAGCGTGGAATTTTATTGAAACATCTACCATTACTGTCCCTGTTACTGAAACCTATCGTTCATCATTTAGACAAAAATGGCGAGAGAAATGATACTAGTGCCTAAATTAAAATACGAACATCTACTTAAAAAAATCGGGAAAAACGAGCAATCTGATAAGCCAGACACTGTGAATAACGATCAGAGACAACTGATAACTGAAAACACCCTGACCGATACCACAAGGAGTGAATCGGTCGACGAGGCCTCACAGGCGGGCAGTGGCTACGTCAGTAAAACTAAAACAATAGGAAAACCTCCTGGTGTGCCCATGAAACGAGGCAGGAAACACATTCCATGGCTTTCATACTGACTAAAATTGAACCAAACAAAACTTTCTTGTTCAAAGAACCTTTATTGTGAATAATTCAAAAAAAAATGTATAATGATAATGCATACATGTAATTTAATCTTGGTGTAGATAATAAAGAAAGAAAACGTACATAGTCTTTATTAAGATAGTTTTAACAATATCCAAATGGCAGTGTATCTAGATTGGGTAGAATTCTCCTCTTGGTGTAAACCATTTGATATCGCTTGGTTTCTCTTCGATTTAACAATTTTCTTTTTCGACTGTCTCTAGATATTTTACAGGGGTTGATAATTTCAATCTGCTTATCCTGCGATGTACAAATAATGGATTTGATGGCTTCAAAATTAATGACTTTGGAATTTGTCCAGTTTAACGTAAAACCACGTACTTTACATTCTTCCCTTCCCGAGAGCGTGCGATATGCATAATTCTTGGGCCCCCCTGACACAAATTCTACAATATGACCATCTTCTGGTGTGATTTCGTTCGTCAGTTCCCCTAAATAATTTCCAATAGGAAGATAATGTAAGTCGTCAGACTTGAGAGTTTTAAAAATCACACTATCTGTATCAAAGTATAGCACGTTCTCCCCCAATCGATCTAATACACTAAATAAGCGTAAACGTGCATGTGCAGTAGTAAAACTTGCTAAAAATATATTTGTTTTGCAATCTGAAGGCATGAACATGTGATGGTTACTCCATTCGAATTGGAGGGTGTCCCTGGATATAATGTGAAAGTTATGAGGGACTTTAGTAGGATCTGAGAGAAGCTTAAAAAATTTGTCAAATTCAGATTCATGAAAGAACTTGGATTGTTTCATGCTTAACCTCTGACCAAATTTCCCCCAAAAACTGTTGAGACAGAGTTTGGCTAAACAGCGTAAACCTGGATTTTTCTGAATTTTTTCGTACTCCAAATGTATACCCTCGTTCTCTTTATATTGTTGGATGTATTCCCATTTCGACTTTTCACTGTCGCACTCGTGAGGGAATCCCGAGGCTTCCTGTTTTATCTTAAGAAACATGTTAACGTACTTTGCGAACAAACCCCCCTCACCCGACGCGGGGTCATACTGAGACGACTGTTCAAAATGATAGACCTCATATATTTTCAAAATCTTGTACCCTTTTCTTACTGCCATTTGGATTTCAGGAGTACACCATGTTCCCGTAATTACCCTTTTCTCAACAGAGCAAGTACAGGCGTGCTGATTTTCAGTATCAGCACACGTTCGACACAATGGAAACTTCAGTTTTCCTTGGGAGCGGTACGGAAGCACGGGGTGATACAATTTCCTAGGTGGTAGGACTTTGATTTTAGCAAGTCCGAAATAATTTGATATGTCCTGAAAATCATTCGTAATAATGGTCGGATGACCCACAGGATAACGACAATATTTATTAGTCCATGGATAGAGACTTGTGAAGTCGTAATACTGGATTTTCTCGTCTTCTTTAGCCTCGTAATGAAGTTTTGTGGCATTGGTCCGGCCACCAAAGAAACTGTCACGGGGATCAAGTCTGTCTTCCAAATCCAACGTGGAAACGAATTGCTGCAATTCAGTATTTTTATCCAATTGATGTCGAAACTGGTGTTCCCATACGATGATCATATCGTATCCAAGCTCTTTGACTTCTCGTTCCCGCTTTTTGGTCATCTTGTACAATTCGTCTAACGTCTGGTTTGTGGCTGGATGTTTGACATCACATCGATCCTGCTGGAAGCAATCCGGACAGCCGTGGTACACACAACCTTATTTTAAAAAAAAAACAAAACAAAATACAAAATTTAAAAAAAAATTATTACAAGATTCGCCGCCGCCGCCGCCCCCCTCCCCTCAGTTAGGGGAAAGGGAGGGGCAAATTCAATAATTAATTTGTAGTACAGAATTAAAAAAAAATCTTACCATAAAATTCGTATATGGTGCCTTTCCCCTTAGTTTTCTCAACAAAACCGTCGCATCGGTAATTGGTGCCCGGTACGTGATATTCTCCCCCATTGAGAGCATGGCGGATATGAACAGGTATTCCCCTTTGTCGACTTTGGTACATGAGCCATTCTAACCATTGAATGGAAATTTTACTGTAATGGTCCTTGTTGACGTATCCCTGAGACGGTACGACGGCTATGGGACTTTTTAATCGGCGTTTCCCTACTACCGTATAGTCTTCTTTTTTCAGGTCACTGAGAGCATTCCATTTTCCATCAAACCATACCCCCATCACACCCTCACAGTCGTCCAACGATTCCCACGTGGACGTCTGGTCTTTTGTAATTTCTACTTCAATATTGTGTTTGAGAAATAAAGTCTTGAATATACCCATGCACACACTGGCGATCGTTACATAGTCAAAGGGGTCCACGCCCTCGATGGTGGTCTTTGAAATATTGCCGTCGGGTTGAACTTTTGAACTCTCTACTGTTGTGGCTTGAAGGACGGTATTTCGAAAAGCTATGCAACCCCTTCTCAGTATATCAACGTCCGAGCGACAGTACTTTAACATCTCTTCTTGAAAGTTAAAAACTTCGGAGCTCTTGCTTGCATGCCACGTAGTTAATTGCTTTCTTTCCCCTGCCGACAAGTAATCGTATCCGTAGAATTGTAAAGCAGGATAGGGACCCACGTACGCCTGGTTTTCTTTTGTATTGAAAAAATGAGGAAAGAATCCCTTGCTGAGTTCCTCTAAGCCAAATGCGTCTGGGATCTTTGCCAATTTCATGGGGAGGAAATTTAAAGAATCCAAAAATGTGAGATTCAGTTTGTTGGCTATATGCATATACATAATTTTAGATCCGTTATAAATGATTTTGTCTGGGCGGATTGAATGTCTATCAATTAGAACTTCTAAAACCGGATATAAGTCAAAGCTTTTAGCATTGTGGGCAATCAAAATGGTGTTCTTTATGTGTGGTTGACATACATAGGCACAAAACTGTTCTGCAGTCCTTTCCCCTCGAAAGATCAATTCCCGATGACCACACGTATCTGGACAGGGTGGACCTACAAATTTTGATTTTTTCATTTTAGCACACTTGTGACAACGTGTGCCACACTCGTTACATGTAGAATCTTCGTTTAATTCTTCCTTTTCACAGGCGTAGCAGGACGTCTGCAGGACCGCAAAGTTAACTTTATGTTGC